TATATATATATATATATATATATATATATATATATATATATATATATATATATATATATATATATATATATATATATATATATATATATATATATATATATATATATATATATATATATATATATACATGACACATGGGGCAGATGAAGTAGAGCCACCTTTACTTTCCCTAACGCGAGTTAGGTACCCATCAGAGCCAGGATGTTCTACTGACTTGAACCTGGATTCGAACTAGAGACTTCCGGATTAGTAGTCTAGTGCACTACCTCTAGACACGTCCCCCTTATATATATATATATATATATATATATATATATATATATATATATATGTGTGTGTGTGTGTGTGTGTCTGTATGTGTAAAAAAGCAGAAAGTAATATGATCGTTAACACTGTTGTTTGTCCCGGGGAAAATGGCATATTTTGAATAGCTTATCCTGCTATGACGTCAATATTACATCATTAGGACGGATAGGGGTTAGAGGGGGGGGGGAGGGTTAAAAGTTCAGATTTGACAGTTGGCAGTTTGGAATGACATGTCAGTATAAATTAGACGTGTTTTTTTTTTTTTACTCACAGAAAAGTAAATTGTATTATAATAGAGTGAACTATTGTATAGAACCACAGCTAGGTTTCTTTCTATAGACATGTACAACGAGTACTATAAATGAAAAAGTAAAGTTCCTCTTTAAACCTAGCGATCCATTGGGCATATGAAGTAGAGCTTAATATATTTCTTGACCTCGGCGTTTGAAAGTATGGTGTGATCAGCATTATGCCCAGCCGCTTTTACTTTCACCAACTAAAGTTAGGTACCCATCAGAGCTGGGTAGACCCAAGGACGCTGTACAGTCACAAGACCGAACCGAGATCCGAACTCGAGACCTTCGGGCTGCCAGCCAAAAGCTCTACCGTTCGACACAACATGTAGTAGTCGGTACTTGATATAATATTAAAAGATAAGCGTTAATATACAGACGTTTGTTTCGTCATTATAGGAGTAATGAGAGAGTGATGGGATATGAAATGGGTAGGGGGGGGTAGGTCTGGATTTTTGTGACAACCTGCGACCTTAGTGACCTTTATTGCCGACGCCCAAACCCACGCCCCCCTCATTACCCCCATCCGAGGTAGCTGTATGTTACAAAGAATTTTATAAATGTTGTCTCACTATTAGAAAATACTTTCACAGTAAATTATGGCCTGCTAATTAATAGTCTGCTTATTTAAAGTCTGTAGGCCTGTTACACGTCTAGGTCTGGTGTAGGAATTTTAAAATGATTACCAGCTGTCGCTAAGTGAGGGGACGGGGAGGAGGGGGTGGGGACAAGGCTCGGTTTATATTTTAAAATGATGACGTTGGTTAAAGTTGTATAATAAGTTGTATAACTAGTTTTATAATAAAGTGTATAAATAATGTGTATAATAAGGGGTATAATAAGGTTATAATAGTTACAAGTTATATAGTAATGTGTACAAGGTGTATAATAATGAGGTTAAGTTGTATAATAAGGTGTATAATAAGGTGTATAATAAGGTGCATAATAAGGTGCATAATAAGGTGTATAATAAGGTGTATAATAAGGTGTATAATAAGGTGTATAATAAGGTGTATTATAAGCTGTATAATAAGGTGTATAATAAGGTGTATAATAAGTGGTATAAGGTGTATAATAATGTGTACAATAAGGTGCATAATAAGGTGTATAATAAGGTTTATAATAAGGTGTATAATAAGGTGTATAATAAGGTGTATAATAAGGTGTATAATAAGGTGTATTATAAGCTGTATAATAAGGTGTATAATAAGGTGTATAATAAGTGGTATAAGGTGTATAATAAGGTGTATAATAAGGTGCATAATAAGGTGTATAATAAGGTGAATAATAAGGTGTATAATAAGGTGTATTTATATGGTGTATAATAAGTTGTATTTATAAAATGTATAAGGTGTATAATAAGGTGTATAATAAAGTGCATAATAAGGTGTATAAGTTGTATAATAAGTTGTATAAGGTGTATAAAGTGTATAATGTGTATACAAATTGGTATAAGGTGTATAATAAGGTGTATAATCAGCTACATAGTATTTGTGTCCATAGATAGTTTTGGTTTGGAGTTTAGAAAAGGCCTAGGCAGGGCTGATTATCTGGACTTGGAGTTCACTGCGATAAACAATGTATTCACTCTAGAGTATGGCCAGGGGTCGGCGTGGTCGAGTCAGTAAAGCTTAACCGAAGTCTCAGGCAGATGAGGCTCGTTAGCTGGGGACAGCCACTCTTCAAGGAGAGACAACTCCAAAATCAAACAACAACTGCTTTGTAGTTTGTTTTTTGTTGGACAAAAGCTGAAGTAGCAGTCTGAAATCAATGGGAGGAGTCAATGGTCTATATGGGGCACAGTTTCTTCCATTCATGTATTCGGGGTGGGGCTCCCCAGAAGAAAGTCTACCGCCCCCCAGAACGAAATGGAGTTTATATTGAAAATATATACTTTTACCTGTGTCCGCCCCCCCCCCCCCCACCGCAAATTCGTTCGACCCCCTCCCGAAAATATCAAGCACCCCCCCCCGGAGAAAAAAGTCTTTAAGAAGCACTGATGGCGCATAACAAGTTGACACTTAAATACGTAATTGGGTTGGAGGAAATCCCTTGCAACATTACAATTAAGAACGAAGAAAAAGAAGGGCATGGTATAATGTGTATAAGTTGTGTAATGAAACATATGCTAATGACAATATCTCTGGGTGCTATCTATGTTCATGAACATATGTATAATTCTTCATGTATAGATGACACATTTCGTACATGCCATTAGTTATGTCCACATTTACCAAATGTCCATATATAAAAAACGTACACAATATCATCCATGTAACCACATCCTATACGGGACGGTTTGGCCTAGCGGTAGTGCGCTGGGCTACTAACTCGAAAATCTCGAGTTTGAATCCGGTTTCAAGTCAATACAAAGTCCCTGAGTCCACTCAGCTCTGATGGGTACCTAACTCATGTTATGTAAAGTAAAGGAGGCTGGACATAGTGCTGACCACACTATTCCTTCATATGCCGAAGCCACAAGAACAGGTGAACTCTACTTCACTTGCCCTAAGGACCGTCAGGTTCGAAAAGGGAACACCACCCTATTTTTTCCCATCCCAAGCCAATAGATCTAACAAGCCACAGGCTATTCCCGCCCCCCCCCCCCCATCCCTGTGAAAATGCCTGCCTGCCTGCCATGCTCTTTGTAACACAGGCACGTAACAAACCTGACCCAAATTGAAAATGTCAAGAAAATTACATCAGATGTCACTCAAATGACCTGTTGACATGCGCATGCGTAGTCAGACAGGTGGACGGAAACCAGACATTACTGACGCATGATTTTTTGTAAACTTTTATTTCCGAGAGTTTTTCTTTTTAACCCTTTACATTCCTATTCGGCAGTAAATGCCTCCTCTGTCTATGCATGCTCTTTCAATGCCATTTTTCACTATAAAACTGTATGCTGCTTTTTAAATTAAAATATTTATTGCATGTTAATTCGAAGTAATGCACAATAACCTACATACATTTTACTCTGTGAATTATATTTTGTTTTGATTTTTAAATACACGTGGATTTTTATTTTTATTAATGATTATGGATAACAATTTTTAAAAAGTGAGTAATTCCCCTTGCTTGGACGCACAGCAAGGACAAAACAATTCAGAACCCGGGCTGTAAGGGGTTAAGGAATTATTTGTGACAGGACAACATGAATAAAAATATAATGAACGAGCCGACCCGCAGCGTATCATACGCCGCTATTTAGTTGTTTTATTTTCTACTTTTCAGTAATTCATAATTTGTGAATTCGACAGTACCTCTGCTGTCACTGAAAATATTTGCTTTAAAACACTATCAGTAGGTCGTTAAGAACGATACTACCCCCACCCTCCTTTCCCTCAACCCCTACCCCACCCCCCACCCCCCGTGAAAGCAGCCTCCTCATAGTTACCTCCCCTAAGTTCAAAATCGTTTCAAACTAAATTATCTGCCCCTAATAGCCGTCACTAAACCCGGCTCTACGATTATAAACATTTAGCGTGAACCACAGCTCACCAGACCATGTAGGGGTGGGGTGGTAGGGAGCGCGCTTACAGCTTGTTTTCTAGCGTCTCCCAGAAGAGAATTATATATATACGAGCCGACCCGCTGCGTATCATACGCCGCTATTTAGTTGTTTTTTTTTCTACTTTTCAGTAATTTATAATTTGTGAATTCGACAGTACCAATGCTGCCATTGAAAATATTTGCTTAAAAACACTACCCCCCCCCCACGTGAAAGCAGCCTCCTCTTAGTTACCTCCTCTAAGTTTAAAATCGTTTCAAACTAAATTATCTGCCCCTAATAGCCGTCACCAAACCCGTCTCTGTGATTGTAAAATGTAAACAGAGTGAACACAACTCACCAGACAATGTGGGGGCGGGGTGGGGGTGGTTGTGATATTGATATAGAGGAAGAGAGGGGACTGTAAGGCGAGGTTGCAGCTTGTTTTCTAACGGCTCGAAGAAGAGAATTATATATATAGATAGAAATATATAGATGCTTATTTTCTCGTACGGTCAGATTATAGAATGGGGTTCAATGAATGCTTATTTTCTCGTACGGTCAGATTACAGAATGGGGTTCAATGAATGCTTATTTTCTCGTACGGTCAGATTATATAATGGGGTACAATGAATGCTTATTTTCTCGAAGGGTTTGGTTAAATAATGGAGTTCAGTGAATGCTTATTTTCTCGTTAGTTCAATGAATGCTTATTTTCTCGTAGGGTCAGATCACAGAATGGGGTTCAATGAATGCTTATTTTCTCGTAGGATCAGGTTAAATAATGGAGTTCAATGAATGCTTATTTTCTCGTAGGGTCAGATCACAGAATGGGGTTCAATGAATGCTTATTTTCTCGTAGGGTCAGGTTAAATAATGGAGTTCAGTGAATGCTTATTTTCTCGTAGGGTCAAGTCACAGAGTGGGGTTCTTGGAGCGGCTACACAGAATGTTCTAGAACATGCGGGAGTGGCGTCCAAGTTCGATCAAGAGTTTGTCTAGTGAGAAGGCAAGTGCTAGAACATGACCAATTGATTCATCGCCAAAAACATTAATTCACAACATGTAACATTCGTATACCACTTAGAAAATTCATTAAATACCAATTGCGTTTATTAACGAACTAAAGCCAGTTTTGACGACAGAACATTCATGTACAACATTCAGCAACCATGAAGAACATTGTTTCGTCACAAAGATCATTCATTCAGCACACAGAACATTCATTTATCACATAGAACAATAATTCATCACCTAGAGCATTCATTCATCACAAAGATCATTCATTCATCACCTAGAACATTCATTCATCACCTAGAACATTCATTCATCACCTAGAACAGGGGTCTCCAAACTGCGGCCCGCGAGGTCCTCTCTTCCGGCCCGCTGAGATCATTTTGTCCAAGGAAAAAACGTTTATTGGTGATGGCTGAGGAACTTTGCCCAGAAAAAAATCAAAGACATGCCTAGAAGAAACTGGCCCCCGAACTGAAATTTGATAGTTAATGCGGCCCTCGGACTAAAAAGTTTGGAGACCCCTGACCTAGAACATTCATTCATCACCTAGAACATTCATTCATCAACTAGAACAATAATTCATCACCTAGAACATTCGTTCATCGCCAAGAACATCCATGTATCACATAGAACAATAATTCATCACCAAGAACATTCATCATCTAGAACATTTATTCCTCACCTAGAACATTCATTCATCAACTAGAACAATAATTCATCACCAAGAACATTCACTTATCACTATAAACAATTATTCTTTCAATTCTTATTTGTATACTTATGTATAATGCAAGCCAGTGCGACTAAAGGATTCTATGGAAACTGTACTAAATAACTACAGTATATGGGGGCAGGGGTGGTGAAGGGGGAGTGAATAGTTCTTTGTAAAGTAGTGCCAGCAGTAATACTGTTCTGTAATGGTATTTAATATTTAATTAGGGATAGTTTTTTGATGACGGATGTACTTGAGGGAAATAGATAGTGGGGGAAAATACTGGAAATGCTACTCAAAGGTAATAGGTAAAAAAAAAGTAGTTTTAGTGATTTATTGAACAGATGAAGTAGAGTTCAGATGTGTCTTGAACTTGTCATTTTAAGGTGTATAGTGTCGTCAGCACTATGCCCGACCGCATTTACTTTCCCCAACGTAAGTCGGGTACCCATCAGAGCTGGGTGGACTCAGGGACATCCGTCGGTCACAAGTCCGAACCGAGATCCGAACTCGAGATCTTCGGGCTAGCCGCCGAACGCTCTACCATTCGACCAAGCCGTCCCATAAGATAAAAATACACATGTTTAATTAATTATAAAATTGATTAAAATTGAAGAGAATTAACCTGATTGATGTTGATGACACAGGCAGGTGGATGGTGCATGTCAAGGGGACAACACACAAGCGCGCTCATGTAATACAGAGGTGAGTTCTTTTGGGGCGGTGTTTCTTTCAGACATTTTTCTCTGGGGGGGGGATGAGAGTGGGTGGCAGACAATCTTCCGGGGTGTGTGTGTGTGTGTGTGGGGGGGGGGGGTTACATGTTAAAAGTATATATTTTCTATATGAATTATATATTTTTGCTATTTCGTTGGGGGGGGGGGGGGGGGAAGGGGGGAAGGGTTGGGCCCCGAAGCGATGCCTGAAAGAAACACTAGTTTGGGAGTTAGATGAGGCTAGAGTTTACGGTTGCTTGATATGGTATACATTTTGCCATGGACTGTTCTAGAAAATGGTTGGTATGGTTGGGTTAGAGAGTAGAGTTGTACTTTGGTTTTAGGAATGATTATCTAGTAAATGGGACAAGAAGGGGGGGGGGGGGGTAGGGAAATGACCTGATGTGTTGAATGGTAATTTGGTCAGTTAATTAGTGAGCTGGTCGGTTCGTTAACCGATCATTTGATACTTAGCCGTGGGTCTTGGTCGTTAAGCTGTTTTTGCTGTTTTATCATCCGAACAGCCCTGTCCGGCGGGAACAGTGGACTTCAGGACAGCCCAGTGCAGCTCCTTCAACGGCGTCCCCATCAAGGTCAATGACGTCACGAAGGAATTCTCGTGGAGGCCATATTTCGGTAATTTGTCGTTTTTAATTAGTTCTTAATTATTTTGTTTTTCTAAATGTCTGCATATTTAATTTACCCGTTTTTTTAGTCATCTTTACTTAACTTCCTTTTAAATGCCGAGGTCAATAAACATATGAACTCTACTTCACCTGCCCAAGGGATCGCTAAATCTAAAGAGGATTCTTCACTTACTTACCGCAGACCTACATACTATAATTAATACGCGTTTTAAATTATCTATTTTTCCGTATTCCTTCACATTTTATTTAACTAAATTTAGTTATCTTTTTGTAACAGTAGGCTTACATAATAATATTTTAATTAATAGCCTAAATTAAAATAAAACACCAACTTCAAACAGCGGAGACTTCCGCCATGTTGGAGAACTAACCCATAACAAAACTTTATGATAGCGATAACTCCGAGCGTTGTAAAAAAGTTCTAACTGGAATAAAATTACACATATCAGCCGTCCCATCAGAAGAAAAAATTAAACACCCACTCCCACCCCAATTAATAATAATTGAAGGCAAATACTAGTCTGTACGCCCGTTAAAATACCGGGCAACTAAAGATATTGTTAAAGCTTGAAGGTGATTTTAACCTCAAATGTGTTTAACTAGACGTAGTCTCGAAACGTGGGAGCACATTATGTGTGGGTATATTTAATGCGTGTGTGTGTTAAGTATGTATGTGTGAGTCTCTCTCTCTTTCTCTGTGTGTGTGCGCGTAAAGTGAGATACCTCGAGAACTCGGGAAAATGTAGCAATGTTAAAAAAAAAAAACCCTCTCTAATTTGTGACCTTTAGCTAGACAGTATGAAATGTTGACTTTAATGACGCGTCGAGCGAGATGCCACATAGAGAGAAGGTGGGGGGGGGGGGGGGGGTGGGCACCCTAACCCTCCCACCCTCCCATGACGGTTCCCTATGGCGCCTCAAGATCTTTATTCAGGGACTATTGGCGTGTTTATCTAGCCGGGCATGTCGTAGATACACGCTACAGGTGCGGTCCTACGGTTCTCACCAGCCTCCCAGCATGCTAAAATCACCGCCTCACATTCTCCCCCCCCCCACAGTACTATCACCCTCCCAGCACCCCCCCCCCCCCACAATCCCACCACCCTCCTAATACCCTCCACCCACAGTCCCACCACCCTTCTAATACCCCCCCCCCACAGTCCCATCACCCTTCTAATACCCACCACAGTCCCACCACCCTTCTAATACCCCCCCCCACAGTCCCACCACCCTTCTAATACCCCCCCCCACAGTCCCATCACCCTTCTAATACACCCCCACAGTCCCATCACCCTTCTAATACACCCCCACAGTCCCATCACCCTTCTAATACACCCCCACAGTCCCATCACCCTTCTAATACACCCCCACAGTCCCATCACCCTTTAATACCTCTCCCCCCACAGTCACATCACATTCCTAATACCCCCCCCCCACAGTCCCATCACCCTTATAATAACCCTCCCCCCACAGTCCCATCACCCTCCCAATACCCTCTCCTCTTTTCCAAGTAAGTGGGAAGTAACTTTTCTATTTATGTTATTACCGCTTGAATAAAAATACATTTGGTTTGATAAATACTAGCTGGCAAACTCTAAAACGAACTATTAAACTAAAAAAGTTCTAAACTCTAATGAAAGTAGTTTTCCAACTTTAAAAGTAATAGTGAACTCTAAAAATACCTCCAGACTCTACAAAACTATGAAAGTACTTCTGAGCTATAAAAGTACCATTGAACTATAAAATAAAAGCACCTTCCAACTCTAAGAGTAGGCCTACTTTCTAACTATAATTTCTCCCAACTATACCTCCCAATTATAAAAAAAAACAAACATCTCTAACAGTAGCCTACCTCCCATCTCTAAAAGTACATCAACTCTAAAAGTACCCCCTAACTAAAAGTGCAGCCCACTGAAAAGTGCAGCCCCCTAAATGTGCAGCTCAGCTAAAAGTTCAGCCCACCTAAAAATATAGCCCCACCTAAAAGTGCAGCCCACCTTAAAGTGCAGCCCACCCAAAAGTGCAGCCCACCCAAAAGTGCAGCCCACCTAAAAGTGCAGCCCACCCAAAAGTGCAGCCCACCTAAAAGTGCAACCCACCTAAAAGTGCAGCCCACCTAAAAGTGCAGCCCACCTAAAAGTGCAGTTCACTTAAAGTGCAGCCCACCTAATAGTGCAGCCCCTAAAAGTGCAGCCCCCTAAAAGTGCAGCCCACCTAAAAGTGCAGCCCACCTAAAAATATAGCCCACCTAAAAGTGCAGCCCACCTAAAAGTGCAGCCCCCTAAAAGTTCAGCCCACCTAAACGTGCACCCCACCTAAAAGTGCAGCCCCCTAAAAGTGCGGCCCACCTAAAAGTTCCGCCCACCTAAAAGTGCAGCCCACCTAAAAGTGCATCACCCCTTAAAGTACAGCCCACCTAAAAGTGCAGTCCACCTAAAAGTGCAGCCCACCTAAAAGTGCAACCCACCTAAAAGTGCAGCCCACCTAAAAGTGCAGCCCACCTAAAAGTGCAACCCACCTAAAAGTGCAGCCCACCTAAAAGTGCAACCCACCTAAAAGTGCAGCCCACCTAAAAGTGCAGCCCACCTAAAAGTGCAGCCCACCTAAAAGTGCAGCCCACCTAAAAGTGCAGCCCACCTAAAAATGCAGCCCACCTAAAAGTGCAGCCCCCTAAAAGTGCACCCCACCTAAAAGTGCAGCCCCCTAAAAGTGCAGCCCCCTAAAAGTGCAGCCCACCTAAAAGTGCAGCCCACCTAAAAGTGCAGCCCACCTAAAAGTACACCCCACCTAAAAGTGCACCCCACCTAAAAGTGCAGCCCACCTAAAAGTGCAGCCCACCTAAAAGTGCAGCCCACCTAAAAGTGCAGCCCACCTAAAAGTGCAGCCCACCTAAAAGTGCAGCCCACCTAAAAATGCAGCCCACCTAAAAGTGCAGCCCCCTAAAAGTGCACCCCACCTAAAAGTGCAGCCCCCTAAAAGTGCAGCCCCCTAAAAGTGCAGCCCATCTGTTCCAGATGCCTCCAGACCGTGTGCCCTGGTGTGTCGCAGCAACAAGGGTGACGTCATGACCCTGAGAGAGACGGTGGCAGACGGTACCAGCTGTGACCACATCGACACGATGGGGGTCTGTGTGGGGGGCGTCTGTAAGGTAGGTCACATTGTGTGGGTGTGTGTGTGGGGGTGTGTGGGGGGGGGGCGTCTGTAAGGTAGGTCACTCATGGTGTGTGGGTGTGTGGGGGTTATGTGGGGGGGGGGGGGTTTGTGTGGGGGGCGTCTGTAAGGTAGGTCACATTTTGTGGGGGTCTGTGTGGGGGTCTGTGTGGGTGTCTGTGTGGGGGGGCGTCTGTAAGGTAGGTCACATTGTGTGGGGGTGTGCGTGTGGGGGGCGTCTGTAAGGTAGGTCACATTGTGTGGGGGGTCTGTGTGGGGGGCGTCTGTAAGGTAGGTCACATTGTGTGTGTGTGGGGGGGGGGGGGGTCTGTGTGGGGGTTTAGGTGGGGGGGGGGGTGGGCGTCTGTAAGGCAGGTCTACTCGTGGTGTGTGGGTCTGTGGGGGGGGTCTGTGTGAGGGCGCCTGTAAAGTAGGTCACATTGTGTGGTTGTGTGTGTGGGGGGGTCTATGTGGGGGGCGTCTGTAAGGTACGTCACTTATGGTGTGGGGGGGGGGGGCGTCTCTAAGGTAGGTCAACTCGTGGTGTGGGTGTGTGCGGGGGGGGGGTCTGTGTGGGGAGCGTTTGTAAGGTAGGTCAACTCGTGGTGTGTGTGTGTGTGGAGGGGTCTGTGTGGGGGGCGTCTGTAAGGTAGGTCTACTCGTGGTGTTTGGGTGTGTGTGTGGGGGGTCCGTCTGTAAGGTAGGTCAACTCATGGTGTGTGGGTGTGTGGGGGTTATGTGTGGGGGGGGGGCGTCTGTAAGGTAAGTCTACTCGTGGTGTGTGTGGGTCTGTGTGGTGGAGCGTTTGTAAGGTAGGTCAACTCGTGGTGTGGGGTATGTGTGGGGGGTTCTTTAAGGGGTCTGTGGGGGGGGGGGGGGCGTCTGTAAGGTAGGTCAACTCGTGGTGTGTGGGTCCATGATATCATTTGTTCGATATATTTTGTCCTGGTGCTTTTTGTCAGTGAGATAATTTGTCCTTGAGATCATTTTGTCTTTAAAATTTTTGAGCGATTTCGGTAAACGGAAGTAATTCTTTTCGATTATTTCAAAAACATTCAGAATTTTAAAATTTGATATCGTAGAATAGCATATGGTAAGAGCTTCACGTCTCTCCATGTTTGCTCGAAACTAAGCGGTTTCGCCACAAACATACCTACCATAGCTCAAGTCAATAGCTCGATTTTACTGCAAGTACCACTCCATTGTGTGATATATATATATATATATATATATATATCTACACCCATTTTTAAATATACATAAAAGAATAAACGAGAAAAACGTAGGAGAGTTCACTCCCGCTTTGTTACCCAAAAGACCTTCTTGCGGCATTCTTTTAATTACACAAGTGAAAATCAGGATCTTTAAAATTGAATAAAGTTGGACTAGTTACTCCCCATTTTTAAATTTAGAACATTCAAGGGAACTAACCCAAAAGTATGTTTACAAAAGTTGTTAAAGATACAGATAATTAAATGTTAACAGATTACAGAAAAAAAAACAACTTGATTATTTTTTTATTTTATTAAAGTTAAATATTTAAGTTGTTAAAAGTATTGTCTGTTTTAATTTTGTTTTAGATTTTGAATTATCTTTTGACTTAAGCCTAAATAGATAACTGTAAACAATCGTAGATACAAATTTTAAAGAGGCGCGAATCTTTCTGGAAATTATTGCTAGCTCTTCGGCACAAAATGATGCTTATTTAATTGGCTTCTCTGTTGTCAGTCTGTCTTGATCTGGGTCAGCAACCTGCGGCTCGCATGCGGCTCCTCTGATGCCAAAGTGCGGCTCTCCAGTGACATGCACAAAGATTAATAGTTATATTATTTATCATTAAAACTCAAAAATATTTTTTGTTAAAAAAAACAACTTTAACTTAAACAGAATAAAAACACTCATCATTGAACAATGAGAGTAGGTGAGTTGTAAAATATACAGATAACTGGCAGCCGCTTAGGCACCAGGCCCAGCCCCACACCCATGCTGTGTACAGCTCCGTGACAACTATTCCATGTTTGCCACAGCCCAAGTGTCAACTTTTTCGAATATCGTTCAATGGGGAAAGTTATTTAATACAAAATGCACTCATCTACCTTTCAGTATGCATTTATTTGACCTGCGTGACGTAGTATTGTAGTTATTAGCGTTCTACCGTTGAGCCGGGTACTAGACGGTGGGGTACGAGTAGTGTGGAAGATAGTCCGGTGTGAAACGAAGGAAGGAAGTGACCGATACTGTAATCAAACCGATATCCAAGCCAGTTAGTCGGAGTTTGTCGTGTGTAGGCCTGTCTGGTTGTTGGAGACTCCTGAGCCGGTGATGTCGTAAAGAAAGAAAAAAAATTCATAAAAAACGTTTTAATAACAAGTTTTTATGTAATAATGCACTAAAAAATAGAAAATAACGTATACACTACTATTTAAATTACTATAAAGAAAAGCGTGGGTCACTTTAGTATCTATTGGATACCTTTACTAATATTTAGGAAGAGAAGAGACCCACGCTTTTCTTTGTAGTAATTTAAATAGTAGTGTATAATTTTTCTACTTTTTTGTGTGCAATATTACATCAAAACTTGTTATTAAAACGTTTTTTATGAACATTTTTAGTACTTTACACTGTTGTTGTGGTATCGTCAGCGGCTAAGTTAGCCTAACCAGTTGGTGTATTCTTTTGAATTTTTAGAGATTTGTTGTTCGTGTGGGACGGCGTGGCCTAGCGGTAGCGCGCTGGACTGCTCACCCGAAAGTCTTGAGTCCGAATCCGGGTTTAAATCAGTATAAACCCTGACGGGTACCTAATTCACGTTAGGTGGGAGTGTATAGTGCTGACCACACTATCCCTTTATAAGTAGAGGTAACAGAAACAGGTGAACTCTACTTCACTTGCCTTATGGACCGCCATAGGTGCCTCAAATGTAATCATATCAGGACTGTAAGTAAGACATTAAGAAAAGTGATATGTGTTAAACATGGGAGAAGGACATTTATACCACCTGGTCAATTACCCCCCGGTGCAATTACCCCCCCCCCCCCCAAGAGTCAATACCCCCTTATTATACCCGTTCCCCCAACCACGCCTAGTTATCGATAAAATAGGGTTAATAGTTACGGCTAGGGTTAGGGTTAGAGCTAGTAAGAGGGTAATGACTCCGGGGGGGGGGGGGGTAATGTCAAAAGGTTATTGACGTGTGTGTGGGGGGGGGAGGGTAATTCTAGACCCGTTAAACATGTCTGTCTGGTTACCTATAAAAGAAGAGAACCAAACTTCATTTTAAAAGAAACGTCACAACTAGACAACCTGTTCATCTGATCGGTAAAAAAAAAAACCGGTTCCGATACACGGAATTTCCGTGTGTTGTCTGGTGTTAAAAAAAAAACAAAACAAAAAAACAACAAAAAAAAACAAAAACAACTAGCGTTGAAGATGGGAATGTCTTGTTCAGACTAAACCTTCAGGGGCCGCAGGTGGGTCCACAGCGAGCCCGATTGGTGGTTGGACGGGTTGACCAACCCGTGCAGGTTGGCCAGTTCCCTGTGTACGGCCTATCACCTGAGACCTAAGCTCACATCAAACATGAATGCAAACCACCACGAAAAACAGAGTTGTTTGTAAACTCGTCACTAATACTAACATTCTTGTTAGCTGAAGTTTTAAACTTTTTTTCCCCTTTTATATTTTTTCCCCATTGTCAATATTAAAGGATTTAGCTGGCATCGCGATTCCTTTTTTCAGTGGCGTAGCCAGGATCGTCTCAAGGGGGGGGGGGGGGGTGTTCCAATTTTTACCCGGGGACAAACTTTCGATTTGCACCCCCCTCAAACTTTCGATTTGCACCCCCCCCCCCCTCCTCAAACTTTCGATTAGCACCCCCCTCAAACTTTCGATTAGCACCCCCCCCCCCTCAAACTTTCGATTTGCACCCCTCTCAAACTTTCGATTTGCACCCCCCCCCCCAAACTTTCGATTTGCACCCACCCCCCAAACTTTCGATTTACACCCCCCCCCCCTCTTTATATATATATATATATATATATATATATATATATATATATATATATATATATATATATATATATATATATATATATATATATATATATATATATATACCGAGGGGTCTATGGGGGGGTTATGACCCCCTAACCCCCCCCCCTGCCTACGCCACTGCCTTTTTTACTATTTTAACGGTGTGGGTCTGGTATTTAGTAAGCTTAAAGATTCTCGTTGTTTTCTAGGAAAGGGGGCGGTATCAACCTGGGTCAGCTTAAATATTGTAGCGTCTTAAAAGAAAATAAACAAACCCGCGTCTGTTTACGTTACATTTTAAAATCTGTCATCAAAGGGCCACAACCCTGAATTACCCGACCAACATGTGGCTCTCCTAAGGGAGTAAAAAAACGAATATTCCCCCCTGGTGCATGAAAATATTATGTTAATAAAAATGTATTGGTGCACAAGAACAGTCTGTGTTTGAAGTATAGTTTATTAAAAAATATATATAACGAATTTATCTTACATGCTAAAAACATTATTTTAAAAAAAAATTGAATAATTTTTTTTAACTCATAAGAGTTGCCGGCCCTATTTTCATTGTTGTTATATTTTTTTTTTACTATCGCTAGTTTAAAAGAAAAGTTAGGGTTTAATACACATTAATCTAAAACTCAAAACTTACATGAAGTGGTTAGATTAACGTATGTCATCCAACTTATTTCAGGCTTAGCGTCTATAGGTGGGGGTTGGGGGGGGGGGGGATGGGGTAAGAAGGGGATATGATAAGGGTTATATAATTTCAGTGACATTTTTATAATGCTATACTTGATGGGCGACAGGAAACCTTCAATTCTGTTACTTTTTCTGGTTTCGCTATCCTAACCCTGCCTCTGAGTATTTTTCTAATCAAAACCCTAGCCCCGACCCAAATCTACAAATACATTAGTTCATTTAATTATCACCCTTGACCAAAATAAATTTGTTAGTTGGGTTATAACCCTTAACTCAAACTAAACTTGTTTACTGAGGTATCACCCTTTACAAAATAAATTCGTTTATTTGATTATCCCCCTTGACCAACACAAATTTGTCAGTTGGTCAAGGGGGATAATAAAAAAAACTATTTTATTTTGTAAAAAGGTTATAACTCAACACAAATTGGTTAGTTGAGTTTATAACTCAAATTTATTTTCTGAGTTATCTCCCTTTACCAAAACAAATGTACTCACCGAGTATTTTTATCCCTCCCCCCACCCCCCCCCCACCCCCACCCCCCCCCCCCCCCCCCCCCACAGAATATCGGCTGTGACAGGGTGCTGGGGTCAACTGTCAACGAGGACAACTGTCTGGTCTGTGGGGGTCAAGACAAGAAATGTCACACGGAGGAGGGGTCAACGCTCAACGTCGACTTCACAAACGGTAGGTTGTCGGGTAGGTTGTCGGGTAGGTTGTCGGGTAGGTTGTCGGTAGGATGTCGGTAGGTTGTCGGTAGGTGTGGGGTAGGTTGTCGGGTAGGTGGCGGGTAGGTTGTCGGGTAGGTTGTCGGGTAGGCTGTCGGGTAGGTTGTCGGGTAGGTTTTCGGGTAGGTTGTCGGGTAGGTTTTCGGGTAGGTTTTCGGGTAGGTTGTCGGGTAGGTTGTCGGGTAGGTTGTCGGGTAGGTGGCGGGTAGGTTGTCGGGTAGGTTGTCGGGTAGGTTGTCGGGTAGGTTGTCGGGTAGGTTTGTTGTTGTAGGTCGACGTGTCGGTTTACTTGTAAATAGGGCTTGCAAGACTACGGTCTCGAAGTCTACTAGCTGGCAAGTACGAGAACGAGAAGTTGTGACCTACTTACAAGCCCTATTGTCGTGTATGTTGTCATTTAGGTTGTCGCGTTAAGTAGGTTGTCGTGTAGGTTGAGGTTTTCGTTTTGATTGTCGTGTAGGTTTAGGTTATCATGTTGGTTGTCTTGTATTTCAGGTTGCCAAATAAGTTTTGTTGCTTGACAAGTAGGTTGTCATGTTACTTGTCTTGTATTTCATTGTGTAGGTTGTTCAGGTTGCTATATAGGTTTGTGCAGCTTGTCAAGTAGGTTGTCTTGTTAGTTGATGTGTAGTATATGTTGCCGTATCGGTTTGTATATATATATATATATATATATATATATATATATATATATATATATATATATATATATATATATATATATATATATATATATATATATATATATATATATATATATATATATATATATATATATATATATATATATATATATATATATATATATATATATATATATATATATATATATATATATATATATATATATATATATATATATATTCCAACCCCATCCTTAACCTCAACTCTACATTTCTGGATTAGTCATTTATGATCTACTGAAGTTCTTAAAAAAAACATGTGCAAATCAAACAATAGTAGTCAAGACCAAATATGTGCATGTTTCTGACCACGTTTAACATTTGTGTACCCCCCCCCCTCCCCAACAGGTGAGTGGAAGGAGGTAGTGACGTTTCCCCTGGAGGCGACCCGACTGGCCATCACCATCCTGTCTACACCCCCCAGCGCGTTAGGTGAGTTTCATCTTGTGTTGTTGTCATCGAATAGGCTGGGGATCCTATGGCTTGTATGTCTCTCTCCCTCCGGAATTGGCAAGGGGCTCGCTAGATGGAGGACACCAGATGAGAACATTCCAGCTGTCAAACCTCAAATAAATAAATAAATAAATAAATATAAATAAATAAATAAATAAATAAATAAAAATAAATAAATAAATAAATAAATAAATATAAATAAATAAATAAATAAATAAATAAATAAATAAATAAATAAATAAATAAATAAATATATATATATATATATATATATATATATATATATATATATATATATATATATATATATATATATATTCTTTAACCACGTCGACCCCCCCCCCCTTTGCCCCGTACTGAAATTTCAGAAAAAAAAACCGCCTATACTTTCTCAACAGTAAGCAAACAGCATATTTTCTCTACTACTAGCAATTTCCGCCGTGAATGATTTTAAAAAAAAGTCGGTACTATTTGTTTTGAAATTCCAGAATTACGATCAGACGATGGTCAGTCGATTGAGCTGACTCAGCTCATGTCCGGTTCTAGCAAGGCCGCGGTCGAGTTCGCCGGAACCCGCTTCATTTACCACACGGAGGAGGACGAGTCAAAGTTCACGGCCAGGGGCCCCATCAATCAAACTCTGTACTTAAAGGTATACACTTTAATATGAGCTACACTAAAGGTATACACTTTAATACGATCTGAAGGTATACACTTTAATATGAGCTAAACTAAAAGTATACACTTTAATATGAGCTACGTTAAAGGTATACAATTCAATAAGATCTAAAGGTATACACTTTAATATGACCTAAACTCTGTCAATTTTTGCCGGCCTCTGACAACTTTTGCTCGTCTCTGTCAACTTTTGCCGGTCTCTGTCATCTTTTGCCGGTCTCTGTCAGCTTTTTCCGGTCTCTGTCAACTTGTGCCATCTCTGTCAACTTTTGGCGGTCTCTGTCAACTTTTGCCGGTCGCTGTCAACTTTTGCCGGCCTCTGTCAACTTCCTGCACAGTTCCCGAAGACAGTCTCTTGTCAGTTGTGAACCTCCACGTCTTCCTTGGCCTTCCCCTTTTCCTTTTACCTTGAGCCGTCCAGTTCCGTCCTACTCCTATCATTTCGATTGTTTCTTAAGACTACTAAGACGTGCCCTATCCAGCGCCATCTTCTGATTTCGATTACTTCTGAAACGGCCAGGGGATGCCTTTTTTATCCTTATGTAACAGCTTATGTAAATGGGACGGTGTGATCTAGCGGTAGAGAGCTGGACTGATAACCCGTAAGTCTCGAGTTCGAATCCCTGAGTCCACCCAGCTCTGATGGGTACCTAATTCATGTTAGGGAAAGTAAAGGCGGCTGGGCATAGTGCTGACCACACTATCTCTTCATATGCCGTGGTCACAGAAACAAGTGAACTCTACTTCACTTGCCCTATAGACCGTCAGGTTTGAAAAGGGAACTTTAACAGCTATATTAAAATGTACCTGTAGTAACGTATGTTTAAAATATAATAGTACTAAAGGTGAACTTATAAATTGAACCAGTACTAAAAGTTTACTTTTAAATTTATCGCAGTAGTAATTGTATACTTTGAAATTATATAAAGTGAACCAGTATTAAAGGTAAACTTTTAAATTATTCCAGTGTAATGTTTTAATCCCACACCTAAATATGTTGTTATTTTTAAAAAATATTCTACGATTTTAAATCACATCAGGATTAATTGCACGTCTTATCTGTGTGAAATTAGGGGAGGGCGCACATAGGTAAAGGGATGGGCAGTTAAAGGTTTAAGATTTTGAAAGTTACAAAACTCAATATTTAGTTTTATTACTAAATCTTTATAAGTCTGTAATGAAGGAAAAGGAAAGTTAATTATTCAAAATTTTTTAACACTTAATTTTAAATAAAGTGGGATACATTTTGCAGTTCATTTTAAAAATATGGTTAAGATAAGGTGTCGTCCATAATGACGTCACACTCATGAGGGGGGGGGGGGGTGGTCAGTAATTTTGTGACGATATGTGAGGGGGAGGGGGGTGTTCAGATGGTGTGACGTCACACTTTTGCTTAATAAAAAAGCAATGCTAGAAAAACGAATTTTAGCTGGGTTTTTTTTGCGTTTTAGAAAACTTTTAATAATTTGTAGTAGGAATTGATTAAAATACTCTATGTTGACAGAGTTCAGACAAGTTTTTGTAAAAATATCATATTTTAAGAAAAATTCGACTGCAATTTTGAGGGGGGTTGTAGGCTGAAGTATGACGTCATTTTAGGGGTTGGGGGGGTCTGGCTTTTTGTGACGATGTGTGACGGAGGGGAGGTGGAGGGGGGGGGGGGTAAAAATCGTCAAAAAAGCGTGACGTCATTAATGGATGACCTCTAAATTATCGAAAGACAATGGTGAAATTGAATCTTTTTTTAAAAACTATTTAATTTTGTAAACATTTAAATAAAAAAAAGTTTGTTTTAGATAAAGAATATTTAAAAAGTATGTAGGACAATTCTTTTTAGTAATAAATAATTTTCTTCGTCTTTCTTTTTCATGAACAGCTTCTGTTTAACCGCCAAAATCCGCTAGTCCAGTATCGATACTCCATACCCAGGTCTCGATACATCGAGGCGGATGCACAAGACCGCTACGCCTGGCTGCACGGGAGCTGGTCTCTGTGTTCGGCCAACTGTGGAGTTGGTAAGGTGTGATAACTGTCTTTAAAATACATTCACCCAGTCAAGCCAGAGTTAACTGCCCCTGGAATGAGCCGGATTTAATCCTGCTATAGTTGAAAAAAAAAGACGTGCTTAATATGTGGAAGATTAAATTTTTTTTTTACTGCATTGATTATTGAGCGTCGGCATGGTCAAGTAGTAGAACCTATGCCTGCTAGCCTAGAAGTCACGAGTTCGGATATAGGTCTCGAGTCGGTAATGCGTCCCTGAGTTATGTTGGGGAACTAAACCGGCGACCTCTACTCACATGTGTAGACCTATGCTCACCTGTGTTTACCATGTTCCCCAATACTCACCTGTGTTCCCCAATACTCACCTGTGTTCCCCTCTACTCACCTGTGCTGACCTCTTCTCACCTGTGTTGACACCTTTTCCCCCCTACTCACCTGTGTCGACACCTGTTCCCCACTTCTCACCTGTGTTGACACCTGTTCCCCCCTACTCACCTGTGTTGAAACCTGTTCCCCACTACTCACCTGTGTTGACACCTGTTCCCCCCTACTCACCTGTGTGACACCTGTTCCCCACTACTCACCTGTGTTGACACCTGTTCTCCCCTACTCACCTGTGTTGACACCTGTTCCCCACTACTCACCTGTGTTGACACCTGTTCCCCACTACTCACCTGTGTTGACACCTGTTCCCCACTACTCACCTGTGTTGACTCCTGTGTTGACACCTGTTCCCCACTACTCACCTGTGTTCCCCCCTACTCACCTGTGTTGGCACATGTGTTGACACCTGTTCCCCACTACTCACCTGTGTTGACACCTGTGTTGACACCTGTGTTCCCCCCTACTCCCCAGGCTTCCAGCTCCGTGCCGTACGCTGCATCGACCGTGTGACTGGTCAGTATGTCAACCAGACCCTGTGTCCATCTGACGAGGTCCCCATCAGCAACCAGACCTGCAACAACGGACCCTGCTACATCTCAGTAGAGGATCGCTTCAAGTGAGAGCTTTTTTAAAACTTTTTTTTAACGAAATCTAATGACTAATAAGGGGAATAACGTTATTTTTTTTAACGAAAATGGAATATTACTATTTTACGAAATTTAATGAGAGAACTAAAAAATTTTAATTTTTTAAACGAAATGTAATGAAAGTAAGAGGAATAACAAATGTTATTTTTCTGACGAAAAGTAATGAATATTACCTATTTTACGAAATTTAATGAGAGAACGAACATTTTACAATTTTTTTAACGAAATGTCATTATTAGTTAAGGAATAAAACGTTATTTTTCTAATGAAAATAATGAAAAGTAGGCCTACCTATTTTACAAAATTAAATGATAAGATAACAACTTTAAAATTTTACAACGAAATGTAATGATAAGTAAGAGAAAGAGAAATAACACATGTTATTTTTCTAAAAAAATGTCATGATAAATATGATACATTTTTAACATGTTTTTTTAAACAAATGTAATGATCAATGAGAAGAAAAGCAAATATTTTTTAACGAATTGTAATTATAAACGCGAAAAAAAAATCTTTTTTTTTTCCTAACGAAAAGTATTCACCAATCACCAAGCTCTTCTTAATAGTTCTATCGTCCACACTGGCTTATGGATAGTATGTATGTCTTAACCTCCGGTGAACCCATTGAGACTAACTCACCGAACCCCAGGGGTTCAATCAAACCCAGGTTAAGAACCACTGTTCTAACTGTAACCTCTGCCCTGTGGAACCCTAGGCGTCCGTCCTTCAACTCTTTCGTTATTGATCTTCTCATATTTCTTTTGACCGCCCTTTGTTGTTGTTTAGCCTTGTATTTTCTATCCTGGAGAAATTGTCCTGGCCAATGCATCGGCTCTCATACTAAAAATACATACTGCTGAATGCAGAGGCGTAGGGGGGGGGGAAACATATATCCCCGGGCGCCGACCTTAGGGGGCGCCAAAATGGGTTGGAAAAACTAATTGAAAGTTTGAGGGGGGGGGGGAATCGAAAGTACGAGGAGTGGGGTGCAAATCGAAAGTTTGAAGGGGGGGGGGGTGCAAATCGAAATTTTGTCCCCGGGAAGGTTCGCTACGTCTCTGGCTGAATGTTTACTTAGGAGAAGTTATTTATTACTAAAATTGATGATACTAATAACATGGCATCCACCCCCACATCATAAGGGAGACAATTCAGTATAGTTGCCGCAAGATTGTGATGATTACACATTTGTTTCCCTTATAGACCCATACCAACAGTGTTTCTAGATCGCCATTGAACATGGATATTTATTATTACTCATGGGGTCACAGATGGTTTAAGCCTGCTCCAGATAGTGTTATCCTCTTTAAGATGTTATCCTCTTTAAGATGTTATCATCTTTAAGATGTTATCCTCTTTAAGATGTTATCCTCTTTAAGATGTTATCCTCTTAAAGATGTTATCCTCTTTAAGATGTTATCCTCTTTAAGATGTTATCCTATTTAAGATGTTATCCTCTTTAAGATGTTATCATCTTTAAGATGTTATCCTCTTTAAGATGTTATCCCAATTTTAGATGTTATCCTCTTTAAGATGTTATCATCTTTAAGATGTTATCCTCTTTAAGATGTTATCATCTTTAAGATGTTATCCTCTTTTAGATGTTATCCTCTTTAAGATGTTATCCTCTTTAAGATGTTATCATCTTTAAGATGTTATCCTCTTTAAGATGTTATCCCTCTTTAAGATGTTATCCTATTTAAGATGTTATCATCTTTAAGATGTTATCCTCTTTAAGATGTTATCCTCTTTAAGATGTTATCCTCTTTAAGATGTTATCATCTTTAAGATGTTATCCTCTTTTAGATGTTATCCTCTTTTAGATGTTATCCTCTTTTAGATGTTATCCTCTTTAAGATGTTATCCTCTTTAAGATGTTATCATCTTTAAGATGTTATCCTCTTTAAGATGTTATCCCTCTTTAAGATGTTATCCTATTTAAGATGTTATCATCTTTAAGATGTTATCCTCTTTAAGATGTTATCCTCTTTAAGATGTTATCCTCTTTAAGATGTTATCCTCTTTTAGATGTTATCCTCTTTAAGATGTTATCCTCTTTAAGATGTTATCCCTCTTCACCAAGCGGTGTCACCCTCAGTGTTTCTTCCAGACTTTTTTCGCCAGATGGGAAGGGGCACTTGATATTTTCGGGGGGGGGGGGGGGGGCGGACACTGGTATAAGTATGTTTTCTATATAAATTTCATTTCGTTCGGGGGGGGGGGGGGGGGTTATGGTTAGGGTTAGGGCTATCCCCCCCCTCCCCCAGACGGAGAGATGCTTGGAAGAAACTATGGTCACCCTCCCTCAGATAAGATACAATTGACAATTCTATATAAATTTCATTTTGTTCAAGGGGGGGGGGGTTATGGTTAGGGTTAGGATTAGGGCTATTCCCCCACTCCCATGGAGAGATGCTTGGAAGAAACAAAAACATTTTTTTTCTCAAATTTTTATTGACTAAATTAGTTATCGAGTTCGAACCCTCGGGCAGATGAGGCTCGTTAGCTGGGGACAGCCACTCCTCTAGGAGAGACAACTCCAAAATAAAACAGCTTCTGCCTTGTTGTTTGTTCTTGGTTGGACGAAGCAAATCCAAAAGGAAAAGCAGGCTGAAATCGGAGTCAATGGCCTCAATGGATCTTAACCAGTTGACACGTATACTTAATTGTGTTGGAGGCATAGTCGAGTCGGCAAAGCTCATGGTTGTTAAATTTTTTAAAAAGTCTCGAGTTCTCAATAAAGATCCCTTTCAACCGGGAGTGATCTCCTTTAAATTTTCTCGAATATTCTAATATAACACTACGGGGGATGGCAACTCAGGACATAGACAATATTTGTAATCCATTTTTAATGGACGCGAGCGAGAAAAGTCTCAAAGGTATTTGAGAGGCCCATTAATTAATTTAAAAATCTTGCACGGCGTAGTTACAATTAATATGGTTATAAATCCTGCCTGTCTGGTTTATTTCGGACTTTACTAAAGATTGGATGTATTTGATGTTTTTAATATTTTCGGTAACTAAATAAAAATAAAAAAAAGCAAAAACAATTTGGTTTTGACGTGTAATGGTGACATAAGCAATGTCATCCTGCTATTCGATGGGCTGCCATAAAGTTTATTGTACACACTGTAAGCTAAAGAAAGAAAAACTAGGTCATTGGGTTTTAATTTTCATTGTTATTTAAAAACTTGATCTGCAAAGTTTTGTAAACAAATAATTATCGATCACGGAGTTCCTGTACAGACAATCAATATGTGCCTTACGAAAGTGAAATATCCGGTTATAACTTAGGCTTGATGAAAATAAATAGAAATATAGCCTTAAACTCAAGAAATTATTTTCAAGTTCTCTGGATTTGCAACTTTTATAGCATCTATTCTAAAAATAAAAAAAATTCTAAATTAATTTTAGGCTTAAGTTTTTATTTTTTTAATTATTTTTACGGTCTAAATCTTAAAAAGCACGTTTTTATTCCATGTCAACAACATTATGGAAGGATTCTCGTCAACTCACTCGCGTCCATTACTTAAACTTTTTATAATAGAATAGAATCTCGTAAAAAAAAAAGAATTGCACACCAAGTGAACGCCAAATAAAATGTGCATAATAGTGCGGGATATTATTAGTACTTTATAAATTCACATGCGTTTTTTGAGAAATTGGTAATAGCGTAAATTACTACTTCCGGTCAACAGAAGGCAGAGAATTAGATCTTTTACTTACATGTGAAATTTTATTTATCTATCTGAAATTGTACTCAAGTTATAGGCTTTTGAAAAATTCAAAGTAGAAAAAGTTCCACCTCCGTTTATCGGAAACGCAAAAAAGTTGATAAGGATCTACGATTTTGATATAATACTTGTATATGAAATTTCATCAACCTAGCTGTAGCGGTACTCAAGTTATCGTGTTTACACACACACAGACACACATACACACAGAATTCGACAAGATTGCTAAAGTATGTTTTTCCGACTCAGAGAGCCCTAAAACGTCGAGATTTGTAAAAATCTCGATTGTTTTTTGCATGATTGCGAGACTTTCTCTATACTTCGTGTATACAATAAGTAAAAATTATTATTATTTTTTTTTAACTCGTATATGAAATTTTATTAACCTAGCTGTGAGGTACTCAAATTATCGTGTACAAGTACACACATACATATACGCACACACACACATACAGACAAATTTGCAAAACTATGGTGTAAGACGTCGAGATTTGAGAAAATCTCGATTTTGATTTTTTGCAAGATTAAAATACTCCTTCTATAGTCTACTTCGTATTTTTTTTTCTTTTTATGTAATAAGTAAAAATTAAGAACGAAGATGAGAAACCTTGTATGTAACATAGTAAATAACCGATTTTCAATAAAAGCGTTCAAAAGTGTATATATTTCAAGTTTACTATCGTTAATGGTCTTATATTTAAACTAGAGCCAAAAAATATATACAAATTACATTATAAAACATATCCTTAGAGCCCATTCTTAAGTGATTAATTTTTATAATATAGTAATTAATAAACAGTGGTTTGCATAGAAACTATCCCATAATTTTACAATTGTTTTGTTTAGAGCGAATTTCAGGGAAAAATCAAAAGTTGTATCCCTTTGTTAATTCAATTATTTAAATGGGAAGAAACTAACCCAATTTAAATTTCACGTAAGACTTATATTTTTCAACATTAATGTTATACAGTTTGATATTTATGGCCTAGCCATCTAGTATTAAAATTTAGATGCATGTATATTTATTAAATATCTATATAATCTTTATCGTCACTGTCTTAACGCCGCATCTAGCACTAGTCCACGCATTCCACCCTGTTTGGTTACCGACGCCTTACTTGTTCTTTCAGCAAAATATTCTGTACGAGCTGACCCGCGACGTAGTATACACTGCGATTTAGTTGTTTTATTTAATATTTTTCAGTAATTCATAATTTGTGAATTCGACACTACCA